CAAGGAGTTTATAAGGGGTAAAAGAAATAAATAAATTAGGGCACAGTACCTCTGTGTTGTAGACATGTGACTTCTTTCATACGTGACAGTGAGACCAGGCTGACCTGAGGCTGATGAAAGCTGGCAGTGAAAGCTGCCTGCAGCACCCACTTTCATCACAGCTTCCTCAGAGCTCGTAAAGCAAATCAACTTCAGTGCTGCTGTCTGCAACAACCTGTAGAGATGTCTGGCACCAGAGGTGATCCAGGTTTATAATGGCAAAGCCAACAGGGACAGGTTCTTTCCTGCATCAAAATCTGTGTCCAGTGGGAGTGCTAGACTTGGATAAAGTGGCTTCTCCAAAGGTGTAGACAGGAGCTAAGCCTTGCCATATCTGATAAGGTGGGAGAACTGTTAAGCCTCACCTGTGAGGGAGAGCCAGAAACCCAGAGATAGCTGCAAGAGATCATTCTTTACCTGTGTCCCTAAAAGCAGAAAGATCCCCAGTGTCTCCAAGTGAGCAACTGCAATACAAAATAACTTGTCCATAAAGGAAGTGTCTTCCTAATTCTGTTAAAGCAATTTTCCTCCTGAAGTTTGAGTTTACATTCTTATTAAATAGGAAGAGTCCTCCTGTGGGTCTCAGCAGTGCTGTGTGGCATTGCAAGGTGTACCTGGGAGAGGTTTTGTCCTGAGGTGTGTTTGCTTTCTGCCCCTAAAAATTATAGCAGGAGGTTCTCGCTAACAAAGCTCACATATATAGAGCTATACTGTGTCTTTGTGAGTTTTGCAGCATTTGCCTTGTGATGTGGCACAGACCCAAGATGCTCCTTAGAGCTAGGTTTTTATCTCCTGCCTTCATTTCTTGGTGGATGTTCCCAACCCTCCTGCTTTACCAGTGAAGGTTTTCAGGATGCTCTGGGTAGGAGGTAGTTTGCTAGAGAAAACCACCTATTCTACATTTGGGCTAAAATTGTAGCAACAACAAAAGGAAAACCAGTTTCACAAGCATACAAGGGAGAGATGGAGACAGGATTAGAGCAATCTGTGGTTTTGAAATCTGTCAGAATAAAGCAAACCACATGAATATGTCAGCGTGCAACGATAATGAGTGCAAACCACAGCGGAAATTTGTGCCCTACGTGTTCTTATTTCCCCTAATTACACATAACCTTCCTCATCCTTGCCACGTGGTGTCCTTGTGCTCTTTGTACACCTTGTGCTGAATCCTTGCAGGAGCAGATGGGATAACATGGCAACAGGTTCCTGCCTTCTTTGGGGTAGGAACAAGCTGGAAAATTTGTCCTCCTATTTTGATTGTGGCTTAAAAAAACAATAATTCTTAATTCACTTTTCACCCACTTTTTTTTTAATGGGTTCCTGCCCATTGGGAGGAATGTCTACTGCTTCCCCCAGAAAAAGAAATATAAATTTTGTACAGCCTAAATATTTAAGTTCTTCAGCCAGTGTTAGTAAATAGCTGTTCTCTTGGGTTGTGAACTGGGGGGATTTCACAGGGTATGCCTTAAGCAAAATGAAATCTTTACCTTTCCTAAATACTTCTGTATCACATTTGGGTCTTTTTCTAGGCAGAGCTTTCCAAAATTAAATTCTTCCCTTGGATAACCTTTCACGTCACTACCTATTCGGCAAGGGGTGTGTTAGTCCATATGGAAATTTTGAAGTAGGATCTTGAAATAAACTCGAGTTGAAATATGCACAGAAATGCAAATTCCTGGGTTTCTGGATAACAGTTGACCAGAGCTGATCTAATTAAGTGCTGTCCTGCAGGTCTCAGAGAATCTGTTTTATTTGTGTAACAAATGCACATCGATTGGTGGCAAGCACGTGCTGAAGTGGGTTCAATTGCATTTTCTGTTGTGTGCTCAGTCAATAAGGCATGGGAAATGTGTGCTTCACACTGGGATGTGGCAGTGGCTGTTGCAGCACCAGGATGCAGGATTACCTAATGCTGCTTAGCAATCAGCATCAACAGCACCTGTAACATGCCTGCAGCTGTTGTAGTCACTTAGAGGCTCCTAAAAAATACTTACCAGTGGATTTTTATAGTTATTCTGTTACACTTCACAGGTGTAATTCAAAGCTGATCTATTAATAATGTATAAAATAGCAGCATAGAACTGTTTCCTATATAAACGTTCCACGCTTTGGTTTCCTCCAAGGAGCGAATTTACCTTTAAAGAGCTGAAATGTTAAACATATGTGGGTCATAATTCTCAGCCACGTTATTTTTTACTGCCACTTACAAAAACACACATCTCTGGTTTAAAAAAAAAAAAAATGGTAAAAATGTTACTGTATTGTTATAAAAGAAGTACTTAAGCTTTCCAAAATATCCTGGCCAAGACTTGCCGGAATCCTGGCCCAGTGTAATCCTTTATAAATATCTCTCTACAAATGTGCCTCTTCAAGTGTCCCTGAGTATATGATTTAAATCCCAGAGGACCTTTAGAAAGCATGTGCAGGAATGGAGCTCCTTTTAACTGATAGTCCTTTGTATGGGAAGCTTCCTGAAGATCCTGCCACGCATGAAGCCAGCAGGAGCTTTGCAAAAGTTGTCCAAGGCACTTGATGGCAGAGAGAAAATTCCAGCACTGCTCTGTGCCCTCGGAAATGAATGCAGCTCTGTCAGCCTTCTGTGGTTAAATGGAAGGGGAAGGAGGAGTGGGAACAGTCCCATGATGTCTCATGGCAGTCACCTGGGGGCAAATCTGGCTCGCAGTCCATGCAAGTGTAAATGCCCACTAGTGTAGCTGAAGCAAAGCAAATTTGATTTATTGCTCATAACAAGATCCTTCAGCACCAGATCCTGAAAATCCTTAGGTCCAGCTTTGATCTGAGGAGCTCCTATGATTTGTCATGAATTTTGGGGATATGATGTTAAGACAGCGTGTTTAAGGGTTTTTTTTGTTTTGTTTGTTTGTTTGTATTGTTTTTTAAGTTCTTGGTGCAGGTTCTCTCCTTCAGCCATTACTGGCACTGGGGGAGTTTATAATTTGGATATTATCAGCAACGGGATCTCTTAAGATTTAAGTTTTATGGGCATGTTAATTGAATTAAAAGATTAATATGCAGTGCAAGGGACCAAAGACATAGACAATTAATCCTGAGAAATAAAACATGGTTGAGTCACACAGAAGCACTACAGGGCAAAAAAAACCCAGCACTGAAGGACCTTTGACAAGAAAGGTTGTTTTCTCCCCAGACAACCCTGTCAGCTACGGCTGTCAACAATAAAAAGAAAGAAAGAAATAAATTGGAGGCCGTGTATAAGTCACAGGACCAGAATATAAATACACATGACATGGAAAGGAGTAAATAATACTGACGCATTCTTTAGAAATGTTCTCGGGCAATACTTCCTATCCATGTCCCACTGAAATGACATGAAATAAAACTTCATGGAGAAAAGTGTTGCTAATCACCCAGGTTCTTGAGGGACATGGCTCTGTGTGTGTTGGGAGGCACTTCTCCTTTGCAGGGCTGCTGTCTCAGGCCTTGCACCAGCATTGCAGATGCAAAAAGTTTGATACTTTCTGCAACAGATCATAAAAAGAATGTGTTTATCCATTATTGTCCAAAAGGCCAGCTGGGCATTTTTTACTGCAGGTCAAGCTCCCTGTAGAGCCAGAAATCTGGGTGTGAGCAGCACTTCCAGGGCATGCAGGTGGGGATGGAGCTGTGATGGAGCCCCACAGTCCTGCAGGAATCTCTGTGGCCTAGACTCACCTTGGCAAAGGCAGCTCACACACAGCTCTGGCCAAAGAGGGCAAATCCCACTGCTCTGGGAAAGCAGAAAGCCTCGAATTAATGACAAGTCTTCCAAACTTCAGAAGTAAAATGGAGGGGGTAAAAAAAATACAGAATCTTGCTGTAGTCACTGAGAAGTTAATAATTTAACTGTCATTTGTAACCAAGATGCTCCTAGCAGGGGGATGAAGACTTGCTCCTGGCCCTGCATGTAGAGAGTACCTCTGAAAGAACAGTGCCTAATCTTATCCAAAGTCCCTGCTAAGGTTCATCACACCTAAAATGTCTTTTAAAGGTGTGATCTGAAGGGTAATTTAAAACCATGTGCATGCCAACAACTCACCTGTTTTTCCAAGGCAGCTCAAACGTGCACAGATTCCTCTGAACACGGCTCCAGCTGCCCACAGCCTCTCATGCCCAGATCCAGCCCCACAAAGGAGCTCTCACCTGGTGCCTGGGTACCCAACTCCTCCATTCAGGGCAAGAATTGCCAAAAAGCAGCAGTCTGCTGCTCCTGAGTCCTCCTGTGAGGTTTGCTCACTGATCCTCCAAAAATTCGGAGAGGAGGGCACTTGACTGGAGTGCTTAGCACAGTGTGGGGACACATGGAGTTTTCTAAACACACAAAAAAAATCACATTTATTGGGCTAGTTCCTCAGAGGAGGATCTTCCCTTCTTACATGGAAAACGCCAACCTGTGAGTACCTGCTCCTGCAAATAAATCCAGAATTAATTATAAAGATGGCTAAACGAATAAACAAGTGTGAAAATACTTTTCCATTACTTTTAACCTTCAGCAATTACTGTCACAAGGCTAAAACACAGCTTCAGATTGCAGGGGAGATGGATACCTTCTTTAGTAAGGTGTCCACTCCAGAAGAGGGTGAAAGCCTCTGCAATAAACTCCGTTGCTTCTTACCCAGTGGCAGCCATGGTTTAATGATTTAAGACTTGCATGGGTGGCATAAAATCCCTTTCAGCTCCCAGATCTACACAGGATGGTGCTCTTTGGGCTTGCAAGCCCAACTTCAGAAGCCTTTTGCTCTTTTTTGATGGTTTTATGGGCAAAAACCCCACACACATCCCGGGGCTGTTGCTGTGCTGCTTCTTTGATGACTTTGCTTCCACGCTGCTTCTTGGGTTATGGTCCTGAAAACACAGAAAGGTGTCTTGGCTTGGGGGCAGGGGGGGAAATTGTGTTTTGTAGGGTTTTTTTAACCTTGACACATTTTACATCTCTTCCCTTGCAGGTCTGTGTGGTGGCCTTAGTGGGATTTGTTATGCTTTGTATTTCGTACCAACCCGATGAGAAGACATGTGTGCAGTTCACAGTGAAGGTACCTTAACATTTTTTAAACTTTTTTTTTTCCTCATGTCATTAAATATCAGAAAAGTTGATACAGGGAATATTTTTAAAACCACAGGAAAAGAAGTGAAAATATACCTGAAATACAGGAATGGTTTTCTGTTACTTTCCAGGCAGCCAAGGAAGAAACTGTATCCTGTAAAGGGGAAACTCTAATATCATTTCAAACAAGATACCATTTTATTCACCATGTTTTAGGAATATAGACAAAGCTGGAATAATTTGAGAAGTGTTCAGAGAATTAAAGGAGATTAAGTGGAGATAGTGAGCAGGGTAAGAAGTAGGGTGGCATAAAATGAGTCCACTTAAGCCAAGTTTTAATATTTAATGGGAAAGTACTCAGAAAGCACGGGGACATGCATTCTTCCACAAGGCAAATTCCCCTCTGAGCACTGGAGGAACTGCACCATACCCCACCTTTGTCTCCAAAACTGCTTTGCTGACACTGGTGAGCAACTAGAAAAGCGGGGCTGAGAACTCTGGTTTTTAATACCGTTTTTCCTGGGCTATTTTTCCTTATTATTGTAATTTTCAGGGCTCTTAATATTTTGCAGACACATAATAACCGAGAAAAATACCGACGCAAGCAGCACAAAATAACAGTGATTATTAACTGGAAAAAGGCAGAAGGAAACAAAATGCAAGGAGCAGCTTTTCAAACCATCCATCCTCCCTTAGAAATTAGACCCCGGTGTGTCTTTTGTGTCTTTCTCGAGCTCCTCCAGTACTTAAAGAAAGAAAGGGAGAAGAACAATTGTGCCTGCCCTGTGGCTGCCTCTGCATTGTCCCCTGTCACCTTTCCACCCCCAAGGAAGGTTACTGGGCTGGGCGGGGGCTGCCACGCCAGCCTTTTTACTGCCTGCCCCGCAGCACTACATTGAATTTGGCATCCAGGCAGGAAGGGAGTCATCCCTCGTGTTGGGAACGGCATGTCGGGCTGGGCAGCTCAGATGTCTCTGCCACACACCCTGACCGTAAGGAGTGTAAGCCATCGTTCCCAGTAGGAAAATTGACGACTTGGAATTGCTCCCGAGGTGACGTAAAATGGGCCATTCCTGTCACCTGGCAGAGCTGGAGCTTAAGCCTCCCTGGCTGAGTCAATAGCCCGTGGACTGTTGCTTACCCAAGGCACCCTCCTCCCCAAAATCCCCCTTCCCAGCATTTCCTATTGCAGCATGCCACAGAACTCCATCATTCCCAGGCCGTTCACCTCTCCTGCCCCACGCCCCTGCTGGGAGCTGGGTAACAGGACAAATGGCTTCTGCCTGAAGGGCTCACATCTATTTTAACAAAGTAGGAGCTAAAACTCACCTCCAGGGCTTTGATCACATAGGACTCATCTACATCTCCAGTATCACTTCTGGAATCTTCGAATTTCAGTTAAAGGCTGTCTCTGAATGCTCTAAAAATGAGTATTAGCTATGACAAGGCTGAGGATGCAAGATTGCAGTCATGAGACAGATTGTTCAGAGGGTTGTTCTTTTCTCCTTGAGGGCCTGATGCTTCATCAAGCACTGCAGTTGGGTCCAGCTCAGTCTGCTTCGACTGTCCTTATGGGGTCTGGCCCAGGTCCTGCCCTCACACTGGTGGCTGGTTCCCATCAGCCAAGTGTCATCCAACAGGAAAATCTTGGCTGAACTTCCCTGGAGAGCCCCAAGCACCCCAAGGATTGCTGTGAGAGGAGGAACACACAGACACAGACACAGACACAGACACACAGACACACATACACACACACACACACACACACACACAGACACACAGACACACACACACACACACACACAGACACACAGACACACACACACACACACACACAGACACACAGACACACACACACACACACACACAGACACACAGACACACACACACACACACACACAGACACACAGACACACACACACACACACACACAGACACACAGACACACCCACACACACACACACACACACACACAGCCTGTGAGATTTGGGTCAACCCCCAAGCTGACTCTCTGACCACTGTGAGTGATTCCCTCAAGGTGGAAAACAGGAGGAGACCTGTGCTTTCCTCTCTGCCTTCCTGCTACTTGGCAGCTTCTTCTTTCATTTCACACTTGCATGAGCCCTGGGTCCTGTTAAAGAAGGAGGTGTGAGAACTGCTCTTGGCAGAAGTCCCTTCCCGAGACTGCTGTGGGTACCCACAGCACGCCATGTGTCCCTGAGAAAGGGAGGCCACCCAAGGGGAGGGTGGCTGTGCCCTTCAGTGGGGACAGCCAGTGGCTCGCAGGAAAATCTTGAGCCACCCTGTGGACTTCCTGGGCTGTGTGCTGACATTTGACAGATCAGTTCCTGTGGTCCTCCCCACGGCACCCTGTGGGGTAGTGACACCTTCTGCTCACGCCACACCACCTGTGACACACCACAGCTACTGTTTCCTGCAGGGGCTCCTGCCTGAGCCACCACCACCCTCAAAACAGGCCTCCTGCTCCACCTCTGAAAACCCCTCTGCCTTCACCTCTGATAACTATGAGAAGCCTTTTCCATGAAGAACTTAATCCATCTTCCTGTTATTTATTTCAATTTAGTCATGACGAAAACTATTGCTAGTAAATATTGCTAAAATGTCTCTCGGTCATATGAGGAACACGAAGGAAGATGAGCTGCCATGCTCTGACCTCATTGTACACTGTCTCTCCCCACTTCCCTTTTCTCCTTCTATTTAAGCAGCAATTGCAGTGCCTATCTATCTCTCTGAGGCTGTTAAAAAACAGTTTTCCAGTGGCAAGTCCTGGTTCCTGGGCAGCGCCCACCATGCAGTCGTATTTGTGATGCTGAAGTTGCCTCCAGGTCTGGCATGTGATTAATCTGCTGATGGAATCTCAGCACTCACTGTCTTGTGCTCCCTCAGAGGCAGTGCTTGCATTTGGCTCACCTTTGATATTTGGAAACGTGTTCATTTTCAGCAGCTTGCAGAGAGATTCCTCTGCAAACATCTTGTGAGAATAATAAGCTTTTTGGAAATTGCCCTGTGTCCCCCATGCATCTCCCTTTGCCTCCAAGGATTATTGTAAGAGCTGCCTGTGTATTCAGATTCTGAGATTTCCTTCCCTTTAGGAACACAACAGAAAAATTCTCCCTTACTGTACCTGGAGCATGGATTAGTCTGTTGTGTCCTGACTTTGGATAGAAGTTGGCAGCTAAATAAAATACCTGCCAAGGAAAAATTAGGCACATGGTGGAGTCTTGGCTTAGTAGATCATCTATAAGGGAGGCTTGATTCAGCCTTCTGCTGGGCTGAATCCAAGGACTTCCACCAGGATTCTTGATCACAGAACAAGCAAGGTTTGTCCATTTTCTGTTTTCCCCATCGAACACATTTGCACCATCTTTGAAAACAATGCCATTGGCTTATGAATTACCACATCTTGGTTTGGAGGGGGTCCATCAGTCAGCAGCACTCCATCTTCTGTATGCTTCATACGAGGAGGTGGCCCCATTTTCCAGCTTCACCTTTCCCATGGACCCCTCCCTTGAAAGCTGCAGGGGCAAAGTAATTGCGTTTAATAAGAGCCACCCTCATTTTGAAGCTGCCCTTGGTTTAAGGCCACAGGGGAAGTCATTAAATTTAATAGCAGCCAAGTCTTGGAAACTAAGATCTCTCAGTAAGAATTTGGTGATATGAGGGGGAAAATGTACATAGTGCTTCAGGACCTGCAATAATCCCAAAATTCATTTTTTTCAAGCTGGCAACCAAACAGAAGATTGATTCACACTGTAGATATAAGAAAATACACCAGGAGTGTGAATTTTATCAAGACATACGTACTTGGAGTTTCAAGGTCATAAAAAATGCTTTTATCTTGATATTTTGCTTGCAGTATTGAGGTTAAGAGAGAGAAAGAGAGAGAGAAGCTGCTGTTTAAAATAACAGATTCCCAACCATGCCATGTGTCTGACAGATAAGACGCCAAGGAAAATAAATGTTTTTACAGTGCTGAACAGAACCAAAAAATGCAATTTTGGCAAAACACAGAGCATGATTTTAATATACATTCACACATATTTTGTACGCAGTGCAGCAACTGCCAGTTCCACCTATCAAAAGCAAAGGGAAGTCCATATGTGCTGGTATCCAAAGCTCTCAGGTGAATCCTGGAGTGTCAAAGGCTCTGACTTGCTGCCAGTTTCCATGTGTTTGTGGGGGTGGACTCTGCAGAGCTACCCTTGATAAAAGCCATGCTATTTTTAAGCTGCCACTGTTGTGAGGAGCAGTGGAGGTGACGAGCAGACCTTTGTCCTTCTTACACCATAGCACGGGGAAAAGAAAGTGCTTGCTGCCCTTTCATGCCTGTAAAAGACTTCCCCATGTTTGTGGGACAGGTTTTGGAAGCAGACTGAGCACAGCACACGCTATTTTGTGGAGATCTGCGTTCCTATTCCACAGTGGGACCTGGGAAGCAAAAAGGCTGGCTGCATCCACAGGGCCACAAGCGGGAGATCAGCAACCCCACTGCCTGATTTGCAAGTATAAATCAGATTTGTTTGGACATGGAAACTGAGATTAACACATGAGCAAAGTCTTGAAACCACCTAAAGCTCAGCACATCCTGGGGTAAGATGGCAGCCCAAGGCTCAGTCTGCTCAGCTCTGCTTCCAGGCACTGATTTGTCTCAGCTGATGACCGACCGTGAGTCCTGTCAATGCAGGAATGACTGGAGAGGAAAATGCTCCCTCCCTCTGTATAAAGCTTCTTGATGTATAGACACACCACTTCCTTGCTGCTCTCCCCAGGTCTCAAAATTACAAGGCAATGTTCATATAAAACATGCAAGGCAAGCTCTTGAGACGACCTGCTGAAGTTCTCATGGTAAGGAGCCTTGCAATTGTTGAAGCAGCCAATCTCCAGACAGAACATTGTGGGTATGCATTCCCTGCAAAGTCCATGCGCTGCATTCCTTTTGTGTTCCTCAATCTCTACAAAGCTAGAGAAAGGGTTTTTATCTCTTTTTTTTTTTTTTCCTTTCCTTCAGCTGCTGTATTTTCTCCTGAGTGCCCTGGCTCTGGTTGCCTGTGTTTTGGCAGTGGCTTTTGCTGCACACCACTACTTGCAGCTGACCAAGTTCACCTGCGATGCCATCCGGGAGTCCTGCCAGTGCAAACTGGACACTGCAGACCCCCTGGGCCGGACCTTCGTGTACCAGGACGCGGCCGACTGTGGCAGCTTGACCAGCATGCTCAGCCTGTACCTCCTTCTGCAGATGGCTCTCAACCTGGTGGCAGCCCTGGTGTGCCTCCTGACGTGCTTCGTGGTGTGGAAGCACAGATACCAGGTTTTCTATGTGGGTGTTCGCTTCCAGCCTCTTGTGGCTGCTGAAGGCCACAGGCAGCAAGTGTAGGGTCTGGGCTGGCAGGGGGTTGTGGCCAGAGATGGGAACTGCCACTGCAGACACCACAGAGGGATGGACGCTTGGAAGGTTTCTGAAGAGGAAAAACGCTCACACGGCTTTAATGAACATATTTTTCCATCATTTTAGGAGCATTTTTCATGGCTGCTCTTGTGAGATTAGCTAGAGGTCACAGAGTCCTAAAGATGCAGCTGTACAAATGCTCCCCAAAGAGGATCTTTAATAGCCATAGATAAAATCATTGGGAACTCATCTGCAGGGCTACAGCCATTACAAAATAGGGTCCATTTCCCTCTTGCCTTCAGAGAAGCTATGCCAATTTCTACCAGATAAGGATCTGATCCAAACTGCTTAATTATATCAGTGGGAACATGCTTTGGGAATATATCATATCTTGGTGCTCTGGGTGTAATCCACACTAACCTGATGGGAATTTAACATTCAGGAAAGTAATGAGGGAGGTCAAGTCTTCTTCCAGTGTAGGTTGAGACCAACACCAAAGTGAATATATTGATGGCTGCCATATAAAATATACATATAACTTTTCAGAGTGATTAATGATATGGGCTACCTAACCTAATTACCAATAAACAACAAGTATGATTGAGTTCACGGAAGGTTCTTTATCTCAAGCCCTACTTGAGACTCCAGGCAGATTTCTGATATTTGGGAGAAAAGATCAGTTTAAGGAATCTTGAGTTTCACTCCTGAAGTAGAGTATAAATCACTAGTCTTGTTGAAAACTATGTCCCTATTGCTCTAATTGCTGACTGATAAACCCAGATTTTAGCCAGTTCCACCAATTATACTCCAAGCACAAAAGGCCAAATGCATTTTTGGTGTAACTCCTCTGAAGACAATCAGCCTTACACACCAGCAGTGGAGTTGGGCCAACAGCCCTGAAAGATATTTTCCTGCAACAATGAATGTTTTTAAAATGGGGTGGAGGGAGGGAAGCAAGAAGAGACTGCCAGTCTCCCAAAGACATCTCTGATAATGATGAGGGCAACAGAATAATGATTTCTTAATGAGGATGGAAAAACAAACTGTATTCAGGCAGTGCTTTTTCACCCTGAAAGTGCAGCTCTAGAAGTGTTTTACTCTTGTTATCCTTATACCAAGACAACGACGTTGGTTTGTCCCTTGAACTGCCATTTCCACTTGTGCAGCATGGAGATCTAAATATAGGAGCAGTTCCTAATTGGCAGCATTTGGCACTGCCTCCTGATCCATATCTGTGCAAGAGCAAGCCAGCTGGTGCTCACACCCTGCCATGACGAGGGATTTCCCGATCCCAGGCAGAACGAGGATGTCTCTGAGGTGGGGTGGAGCAATCACATGCCAGAAAAATTGTGCCATAATCATTAGCTAGGAGGAAGCAAATGAAATTTATATAAAGCTTCAAAGAAAAAAAAAACAGCCAACTTTCTGCAGAAAAAATAGTCATCAGAAAGTCAAACACCCAGACTGGCAAAAACCTAGTTGTCTAGGGAGCTCTAATCCTACCAAAAAAAACTGTCTTCCAAATGGTGATCACACACCACCCAGGGGCTAGACTGTCAAGCCTCCAGCGTCAGAAGATCACAGCGTAGGGAAGTCTCCTGTGGCCCACCTAGAACACTGCTGGGTGTAGGGGCTGTAGTTTTAGTCATGGAAAGTGCCTCTGAAGCATCACCAAGGTGCTTTCTGCCAAGCCACAAAGCGAGGAGCTGCAAAACATGAAGGGTTTTGAGATCTGCTTCCAAATGACCTTTCTTACGCACCTAAAAGTAACAACCACTGGTAAGCCTGGCTGCAGGGCACATTTGAAAGGGTGCCCATGTCACCACCCATGCCAAGACCTCAGTCTGCTTCTCAGGCACTTCTGGGGCAAGCTGAGACAGGAGAGGAGCGGGATGGCAGGCTGGTGATGTCAGACTCATCCTTGGGGCCATCCATGCAGATCTGGCAGGAACCAGCCCATCTCCCACAGCTCCAGTGCTGCCAGCAGTGCTCACAGACCTGTGCCAGGGCCATCCTGCCTGGAGATGGGTACACAGGGGTGCCTCTCAACTTGTGGTGTGCTCAGGTTTGTCCCCCATCCCACACATGCCTCCAGCTGTGCTCTCTGTGCAAACTCAGGGCAGAGGATGTACCTTCCTCGTACCTGCACTGCCCTAGGTGCACCTGCCCCTCCCTGCAGCCAAAAATGTGGGATTCTCTCTCCACACAGAAAATAACAAGAAGCAGGAAAAGGATCAAAGGGAGTCTGAATGAGAGCTGAGCTTTGGGGCCTCCTCCAACCCTCACCACGGCACAGAAGGAGGAAGGCTCTGCTGGCAGAGCAGGGCATGCTTCCCCCTTCCATCCATCCCAAATGTGTCTGTTGTTCAGGGGATAGCTTGGTGTGCAGCACTGCAGCCCTGGCCCAGCGGCATTTCCACCAGAGCTGCCCTTTGTCTCTTTAATCCTGTGACCTCTGCCTCACCCGCACGTCTTCACTCCCTGTCTCCCATGGCCTCCCAGGTGCTGCCATGGCCCCAGAGGCTGTGGGATGGGGCTGTGCCTAGCCTCTGCCTGCTCACTCCGGGCTGAGATTTGCTGGGGCTGCTCTAGAGCACGGCAGACGCAGCGGGGATGATCACAGAGCTGCTGTAAATGCCTTCGGCGTGTCGGCAGGGAGGAGAAGGGAGGTCTGGATAACAGAGCCTGCTCCGCTTAACAAGCAGAGAACCCCCATATCAGCTCACCCTCCTCTTCCAGCCACCAATTCGGTTTGCTAATCAGCACCACGCAGCTTAACCCTTTGCTCTGGAAGAAAGAGATATTCATCATGTATTCTATTGGTGGTTTATATGCTCAATGAATAAATACGGGGCATTTCCATCTAGCAAAGATGAACTTCTTTATTTCCTTTTCGTGTATCTCAAGAGCATAAAATCAAAACAGGAGAGATGGTGAAACAGACACAGAAGGTTTAGGAACTGTTTTCCCCCTGGGTATGGTTTTACAATATGTATTTTGCTAGAATTAAAAATTTGGGAAAGTACTAATTAAAGGATTTTCACCTACCAAAGCATATCCAGACACCTCCCAGCCTTTTCCCAGTGTCAGAGTCTATGTGAACTGCACCAGAAAAAAGACTGGGACTAAAAGGCTTGGAAAGGACAGAGGTGTTGAAGAAGAAAACAGTTTTTTATAAGCCTGGGAAATGTATCTTCTCGGTGAATTCCACAGAAAGGGGTAGGATTAAACCTCTATGGGCACACGGAATTTGTGAAGGGCTCGATGTAATTTACTCTCACAACCCAGGTGCGATTCTCATTTGCACCCTGGCCACTTTACACTGTTTTCCCAGTGTAAAGGGGTTGTAAAGACAGCATCAATCATCTTTACACCTACTTTATGGTCATTTTACACAGCTAAAAGGGCCCTTTGTGTAAATGAGAACTCAAGCCCTAGAGAATTTAATAGAGAGGAGATCCTTTCTATAGACTGTGCTAGACCCTCTAATAGGGTCTATTACTGGGATATAACTCTCCGCTGGATTTTATGGCTTGGCTTAGAGATCATCAGTCTCGATTAAATTCAGTTCTGCAGAACTTTTCCAAAGGCCATAACCCCCTGGTGTCACGCCTGCTCCTCTACCCCAATCGCACACACAGTGATGGTGTTGCATGGATAACTGCTCGGTTTTTTAAAAGGAGAAGCAGCAGCTACCACTTTCCTCTGGCTCTGAGGCATTTTGATGTCGTGCTATGCAAATAGCGAAGCAACAATAACAGCAGCGAAAAGGGAACCGAGACGCAGCGGCTCATGGGGAGCCAAAATGTCACATTCATTCTCAGCCCCGGCAGGGTTCGTGCCCCTCTGGCTCCCCTGCAGCCGCTGGAAGGCCAGGGGCTGGTGGGCGAAGGGGAAGCACCGCCAGGCCCTGGCCCCACGCTGGGGCTGCCACCAGCCTTCATGTGACGGCCATCTGCGCCTCGCTGGCCCGGCCGGCTCTGCGTGGGCACCGCTTGGAGCTTTGCCTAAAAAACAACTCTGCGCAAGAACGCCAGGAGCTGCAATCAACTCGCAGGACTAATTTTTTTCTAATTTATTTTTTTCCTTTTTTTCACGCTCCCAGCCAGTGCAATATTTGCTCTGGGGGCCTTTCGAAAGAGAAAGCACGCTGCTAACGTGTGAGAGAAGCCGCAGCTCAGGTCTTCTATATTTAGAAAGCCAGGATGTCATACCTCGCCTTGAAATTTTCATAGTCCCCTGCACCCCACCCACCCACACACGTACACATGCTTGCGTCTGGAAAATGTTTTTCGGTCTTAGCAAAGGGTGTTGGCTTAGGGGGATTCGAGGGAGATGCAGAGGAACAACAGCAGCTCAGTCCCGGGCGCGAAGCTCGAGGCCTCCTTAAGGCAGTGGGCACGGCAGGCACCAGGGACCCACCGCTGCCGTGGCTGGGTGCAGCATCTCTGCTCCTTCTTGGTCTGTAACATAAACCCCAAGGCGGAGCCGAGCTGTTCTGAGGAGCAGGGAAGCCCTGTCCCGTGTCACAGCAGGCAGTGCTGGCCCCTCAGCCAGCAGCACCTTCGCTGGTTCATTTCTGACTGGCCACGCACAGACTGTGTAGACCTGTACCAAGGGCTCCAGGAAGCTGAATTTTGGGAGTAGCTCATCTCAGGTCTCTGCTGCTCCTCTTCCCCAGGGATTTTTGCTTTCTCCTAAATGTCTGCCTCTAGTAATCACCACTCGGTAGCATTTATCTTCTGCTTACTTGCCTCTGTAGCCAAATATCATAAACTGTGATTGAATCTACAAAGACTGGGGTACATTTTTCTTTTGGCTTTGGTACCTGGTCTCCATGCCTTTGTCCAAGAAAATGGTTGAAAACCTCATCTAAACTTCAAACGTTGTGAGGGGAGCTGCCAATTTCTTTTTCCTTTCTTTTTAAAGAAGATATTGGCAATACCTATTTAATTTGTTATCCCAATACCCCACAAAGCCATCTTTACATTGGAATAAAGATGCAGCACCTCCTAAGGCTGGCTAACAATGACTGGCCGCAGAGAGAGTGCGGAGTTGAGGCCACCCAAAGTCACCAGTGACCCCCTGCTTCACCCAGGTGCACCCAGGTACCCCTGCCTGGCACAGATACCTGAGTCAGCCACCAAATGTGAGCAGCAGCCCAGTCTGAGAGGAGAGAATAACCTGCAGAGGGTGATTTGAGTACCTGCCTCTCCTTCAGTCAGATGGATTATGTCTGATGAGTGCTGGGCTGACCTCAAGTTACAGGAGATATAGAGAGTGACACTTATTAAGGCAGCCCTTGGCTTTACGAGCCCTGAATGTCCTGGAAGTGAGATATTTGAGCGAGACCGGGGTTTAACCCCATTTCACTCTCATAGCTGTGGAAGGAGAACTATTTTTAATTAGCCCAAAGCTAACTGAAGAGGGATTTCTCCTCACTTCAATGCAGGCTTTCTCTTTCACCAAAACTGTGATGAGAGGAATCCTTTCCCCGATCAGTCCTCCGTGAGGCTGGCTGGGGGCATCGCGGCTGGAGCCAGAGCTGCACACATGCAGAGGTGTGTGGGAAACACCCTCATACCTTTTTTTGGGACATTTTCT